GACCTATGAAAATAAAAGTTAATTTAACTGTGTCATTGTAACGTAGGCGGTGATGGCCTTCCCACATCTTGTTTTTTGCTGGCATTTGATATACTATCCACGTCTTACCCACGCATATTTAGATATTAACTTATCTACCAATCTTGTTAAACCGTACTTGTTTGTCTGACGTGTCGCGACGTGACGCGTCAGAACGGCATCGGCTTCATACATTTAGTTTGGTCAGATTTATATTAGTGTGTCGCAATCTGACGTGACGGTTTGTGTTGTATCGCACGTCACGTCAGATCAGACAAGTATGTACGCGCCAGCGCTGTGTTGTGACGCGTCAGACGATGGTATTGATTACATCGTCAGAAGGTGTCAGAACGCGACATGTAGATGTGAACGCTAGCCATGACGTCAGAGCGCATCTTGATACGTCACGTCAGACATAAACGTGGCTATAGTCTTGGTTTTATCTTCGTATCAGAAACTTAACTACAACTCGACATGAATATCTGTCAGCGTTGATTTCCCTCCCGCTTCGTTTTCATCACCCCGCTCTTGCCCTTGTGAACCGTTGCCAAAACAAACACATAATGGATTTTCTACTTTAAATATTTGTGTTACTAAGTACTGCTACTTTAAATATTATGACTCTTTTGATAAAATGTACATGTTTTAAGAACACATTTTTGATACGAAAATGACTACAACGAAATATCTAAATATTTGAATAGTAAGAAATAATCTAAAATTTCAAGCAGACCATTACATCAATTGTATATTCTACAACCTAAACACTTGATTACTGCGTATATACACTAATTAAACTTATTACACACAGGCAGAGGTTGGGTTGTACAAACTGTGACATTTTAAAACTGTCACAATTGGATTAAGGGAATAATATATTGAATACACGAGAAGAAGAAAACATCATCGTCATCGTGCTCTGGAGGCTGCCAAAGTTTCCCCATGGCTGTCTAAGCTTATTGTTTGTTTGTTCCGCGTTTCGCTTACGTTCGGACCTCTGCTCTGACAAAAAAAATATTGTCAAGAATATTTTTCTGGCCGAATTAGAGCTAACAAACCAGCGGACATCAAATTTATCAATGTATATTTTATTCTATTATAATTGAAATAAGTTATAAATTTCAATGCTTTGAGGATGCAAAAAATGCATCGCGATGATCCGTGGTCAGTCTCTGAACATTCCAATATTATATACCTTATTTCAATCGCAATTTAATGTGCTCTGCCTTCCCGTTCACCTGTTTGTGCTGGCCCTTAAGCCCTTTTCGCGTTAATAAGTATGGTGACCCCTAAATCAAATATAAATACGTATTTTTGTTGGAAAGAGGTTACCTCAGTATTGGTCCCATTTAAATTTGAAGAAAATATTCCACCTCTAAGGGTGATCCGGTATCGCGCACTTTTCGGTAACCGGTGTCAATAAAACTTGGCAAATAGACGCAATTTTGAGGTCGGTTTTTTAGTAGGTACTCTGTACTGCGATTATCATTTTACTACATAAAAATGTATTTTGTAATTGATATTTCATTAATTATTTATCAGTCTGTATTTCATTACTTCCATTAGTCCGGTTGCTGCATGGTTGTACTCGAAATTAATGATGTCAAAATATCGTATTTTGTAATTTATATTTTTCAATGCCCATCATGTTAAAGTAGTTTGTTTTTAGTAATAGTAGAGCTCCTTGTGAGAGAGTTCGTCTAGGGAAGTACTGCCACTGCACCTATTACTGCCGGGCATAACTGTGTTCTGGTTTTGAAGAGTTAGGATGATGGAATTTATGTGCGAAATATAATCTGAAACTTACCATGAGCTTTTCGGTGAAGGAAGACATAGTGACGAAACCTGCACGTCGGAGAATGTCCTCAACCTAACCCGCATTGGGCCAGCGTAGTGGACTATGCCATAAAACCCTCGCCTATATCGCATACATTTAAGTCTATGTACTATGTGACTACATATGGTTAATTTTTAAATATATTTATCAGTAGCAGTAGAGCTCATTGTGAAAGAGTTCGTCCAGGGCAGTACTGCCACAGTACTGCAAGCAGTAATGTCAGCATTCCTGTGTTCCGGTACTGGTGAAATTACAGGCACATGGGACTTGTCAACTATGTCTCAGGGTGATGGGCGCAGTGGTAGTGCCCCTAAAATCTTTGCGATTTAAAACTCTGAGTGGCACTGCACTGTCATGGACAGGCGTGTAGCGTACCATCAGGCGCACGACTTGTTCGTCCCATCACTATTATATATAAAAAAATCTCTCTCTCTCTTTCTCCTCAGCATTATTATTTTCATTTGATATTGGGTCTGCTTTCCTTGCATTTTCCCTCCTTATTACTACTATTGGACTTGTCGTTTTCAGAAACATGGCAGCTCCTTTGATGTGTCCACTTCATCTTCGGTGTTCCTCGTTTTCTATAGTTTTTTTTTTCAGATTTTTCACGGCATTTTCACGTGTCCTTACCACCTCAGAATACTCTTTTGAAGCTTATCAGCGAAAGTATTGAAAATATTGAAATGAATTTATTTTGATTTCTAAATTGAAATACTTCTAAAAAAATATTTCCTAATTTATGCTTAAATTAATCATAATCATGTATTTTGCCTAGCCTTGGCTTTTTTGTTTTGTTTTCTGGCTTTTGGTGTTATTGCATTCGTTGTCGCTGATGAATATACAGGGTGTAAACTTGAGACGGAGCAGTAAGGCCAGCCACCTTAGTCGTTGTAATAACGGAAAAACGGTTCTAGAAGGCTATCCATGAATATCGAAGATATTTTGCTTGACATTCACAGATTTTGAAAAAATGGTACAGTCAATAAGATAAAAGGCAATTTTTACAAAACTTTTTTTTATGCTATTCGATCCGGTCTCTGTTAAGGATCAGTAGTCTCTATGCGACCAACTGAGGTAAGAGTACTCGAAATGTCAGAAATAGCAAAAACTTTTTACCATACATTTTGTAGGGACATATTTAGTAATCAGTTATTCTAGGTAGTTAAGGAAACTAACAAATTGACAACATATTATGTATTAGTTAAATGAAATTTATAAAAAAATACAACAGTGTTCAACAATTGAAAGACGGACTTGCAGCAATTTTCAATGGAATCCATCCGAGTAAAATTTCAGCCGCTACTTGTTGTTTGCATCCGCCACGGTGGCAATCAATTCGAGCACTTACTATCATACATTTTTATGTTATTTTGTTTTTGTTATTGTTTTTATTTTGAAATACATAATATTTTCAAAGTTGTCAATTTGTTAGTTTCCTTAACTACCTAGAATAAGTGATTACTAAATATGTCCCTACAAAATGTAAAACGATAAAAAGTTAAAAAAGAAATGGTAAAAAGTTTTTTGTGATTTCTGACATTTCGAGTACTCTTACCTCAGTTGGTCCCATAGAGACTATTGATCCTTAACAGAGACCGGATCGAATGGCATAAAAAAAAGTTTTGTAAAAATTGCCTTTTATCTTGTTAACTGTACCATTTTTTCAAAATCTGTGAATGCCAATCAAAATATCTTCAAAATTCATGGATAGTCTTCTAGAACCGTTTTCCTGTATCTACAACGTTTAAGGTGGCTGGCCTTGCTGCCCCGTCTCAAATTTACACCTTGTATACATATGGAATGGTATTTATTAATTTTGTTCTGAACTGTCATAATTACCCATTAAGAACGCAATCTTATGTCGTTGCCGCATGGTTTAGATTTGAAACATGTAAAGGTCACAGTTGTGTATTTAAATATATAGAGTGTACACTCAGCAACAGTTCAAATCATACAACTAGTCACTTTTTAACCGATTCAGAGAATGGAGGTGTTCAGTTCGACTGTTTTTTTTTGTATGTATGTTACGCGATAACTCCGGCCGGCGGATTTGTGAATCAATTTTGGTGTTTCTTTTTTTTGTTGGAAAGAGGATACCTCAGAAGTTTACATTGTACAAAATATTCCACCTCTAAGTGTGGTAAAGTAGGGGATGAATGACCTTTGAGGTCGGTTTTTTAGAGCACTGATTAAAACTGTAATAACATAAAGGATTATTCTTTTATATAGAATTTTCACAGTTTGGAAATATCCACCGCGCGTCATCATCACTGTCATCATTATTTAACCGGGAAACATTCTTAGCTAAATGTGGAGCTTCCCGATAATACCGTTCCACTCAGGACCACCTTGTACTGTTCTGCGCCGTCTGCATCCATATTACTAATACATCATATACAGTACAATAAATGTTTTTTTTTATGTAAATAAAATACAACGTAAACATAAGACGATGCACCAGCCTGAATTCCTTTTTTTCACACATATACATCTACTACTCGCTCTGCTATTATAATAGTGTCTAACTCAAAATATGTGAAATTGAAGATACTATTGCTGGATGTAAAATTTGAATCTCTACACGTCAAAAAAACCGTTGTGAAAAACAATTACATACTACATATTATATGTATAGTACATACTCAAAATGAGACAAACTTTTTATAAGCTAATTCTGGACAAAACAGTCCATACTCAAAAATGTAAAATAATTTTTCCCTTTTATTTTGTAATATGTTTGGCAAGTAGGATATTGTTTGCATGTCTGTTATAAACTTTAACTTGTACATTAATTTCAATAAACTATCATCGATTCTGGGAAAATACACTTTTTGAGTTAATAACACTATTGTATTAACAGTGTGATGTTATATAGTTTTCAACTAACCAAAAACATAATTTCACAGTTCTATAAGTTATTTGCAATAAAATAAACAAACCAAAAGCAATTATACAAAAAAAAGACTGCAACGTCGACAATAATTAGTGGTAAGTTCCAAACATCGTCTACAAGATGTATTTCAATAACAGTGAAAGGGTTAACCGGTGCAGTGAGCATAATATGACGCAAAGTGTAGTGAAAGTGATCACAAGCGGTCAGTGTATAATGCGCTCTGTGTGAGCGCGAACGCAACCTTTGCCGCACTGCAATAAAAAAAAATATAAACTTTAAAAAGACAAAACGTCATCTGTCAAATTGTAAAAAAAAATAATTCAAAATAGTGCGTAACATAATCGGTGAATAGAAAAACCGGTAAAGTGTGAGTGCAGAAGAAGTTTTTCGTGGAAGGTTGTATATTGTTATATCGTGGAAGGCGGCTGGGATCGGCCAATGACGCCGCGGGTGACGCCCCCGCGCGGCTCGCCGCCGCTCTTGTACCTCGCGGTTTTGCTCCTGTTCAACGCGGGTGAGTATTTGGTTTTGTAAATATTTGAATGTGGTCAAAAAGTTTTAAAAGCAACCTAGGCAGCTTCTAAAATTTAAAACCTATTTGCCATGGGTGACACACACGCTCGGTCTTTTTTTAAACACCCTATAAACGTATCAAATCCGCTATAAAATTTTCTCATTTTGTAATGAGTAAGATTACGGAATCAGGGTACCAACGAATTGCAGACCTATTAAGTGATAGTATTCAAATTTCATTCGGTTTTCATTTAAATTACACAAAATCCGGTTTTCGACATTTCAGCGCAAACTGTATAGTGATCTTAAAAACAAGAGAAATGTTTTGTAATCTATATCAAAATTGAATATACCTTAGCTTTTTCAATCCATTACGTCTTTAAAATCAGTGAAAACAAATCGCATGTAACACATAATTTCACCGGTAACAGACGTAACGTTGATGTAACGAAACAGTGTCGTAACAATTAGAGGTGTGCCGGGTGCCGGCGTAACCGGTTTTTTTTCTTCAATAGACTTTCAATGATTTCGACAGATGCATTGTTGTTGGCATTTAGGTGAATAAGAGAAAGCTTATTTAACTTTACAATTTTCTATTTCTGACACTCATCAACATTTTTTCGATTAAAAAATTTGATTCTCATGGAATTTATTTTCCTGTAAGTTTTTCTTTGTTCACCTTCTATTAGTTTAAAGGGAACAGGATATGTTTTTAGTACCAAATGCTTTTATAGAACAACAGAACTCTTTAAAAAATTAAGACATGCTGCCGTTGATATTTTGATTTTTTTAAAGATATATATACAAACGGACCACCTGATGGAACATATTTATCGTCACTTGTGATACTCAGAATGATTCATAAATAATGCAAATGCGTTGTCAGCCTTGAAACATAAGATCCTAAGTCCATTTTTAATTTTTAAAATGTTTCCTATACGTGTGATGGTGCTGCCATGCGGTAGAGATAGGTAGAGTGATCGTAAAGAAACAGAGAACCTTGCCACTATTAATAATCCGATATATTTTAGTGCAATCAATCGCTTTTTCCTAAACTTCCTGGAAAATGTAACGAGGTCTTAATTATACCCGACAACCGTAGGACATAAAACAAAATTGTACTTAAATAATTCACAAACATGGAGCCAATGCGGTTGGAAATGCGGTGGGGAAAGGCCGACGTATATTTCATGAGATTGAGGATGCCCATGAAGTGGCCAGGGCAAAAGTCGGAGGTAGATGAGCGCGTATAAAAGAAGTGATATGATTGGGTGAAATGAAAGAAGTAAGAAAAATATAATCATTTGTTTTATATTATCAATGTCACAATATTACAATTTAAAATATAATGTCAAGGAATAATACGATCGTCACTAATATAAACAATAATAATGGTATAATTACATATTTTTAATAACATAAACGCAGAATTTTGTCGAAATACGACGACGTCGAATAAAAATTAAATTACAATTTCTTCGAAAGAAATTCCTCTACACCGTAAAATTCATTATCTAATAAAAGCAGTTTCAGTTGGGTACCTATACAACATTTAGTCGTTTGTAACACTTTAAGTTTGCGGGTAGGTGCTCATAGAATCTCGGACCTGTTACTCACAGGTTTCTCGTTGCGAGTTCGGTACGATGGGTAAGAGATTTACTCTACCTACGTCAAAATATGCGCCAACGATCGGAAAATGTATAACGAAAAACTTGTTTTTTGCCCAAGTAGTTTAGTATTAGTAATAATACAGCGACATCTCTGGTCAGCTGTAAAGAAATAGATTTGTCACGTCAATTCGGTTGTATTCGAACCAACGTCTCCCGGCAAACCATGGCAGACGCTATGCCAACTAAGGAACGGAACGAAACAACGGACCTCATTAATTTTTCCATGTGTTTGTTGCCGATCTTTGTTTCTGGTTTTAACGACTTCTTGCCGTAGCGCCATCTGTGAGAAATCTATGAAAATGTTTTCTTCATTCTGAAGGTACCTTTACAGATGCCAGCCGCTGACTAGAGATGTCAATAATTGTAATTAAGTTTTTTGCATTGATATTACATTGATATTTTAATACTTTTCGTTATACTCTGTATAAACATGTTATTTTTATAGCACCTCTATCCGGTCACGATATTTTACTCACATGAGTACTGCCTAGAATCTAGTTTGAGAAATCCTTGTAGTGACCTAGATGTGGCCCATATGCATTGATTAGTCGCTTCTTTGAGTTTGCTAGATGGCCTATTTACTTCGTAGAGGCTCTTTTCAAGGATCTTAGGCTCTTTGAAGATAAAATACTAATTAGAATTTCATGGCGAGAAGCCTCTTCGAAAGGATTAGTGACCTTTCTTCACCATGTTTTCCTTTGATATTGGTACATGTGTATATAGCGCGTATAGATCCATAAGTCTCTGACTACGCCACTGAAGCATTCATATAACAATATGTTACGTTCGGTCAGCAACACGTTACTATTCCGCAAAAAAATACACTGTGTACAAAAATGGACCTAGTACTAAGCCCTGTCGAACACTAATAAATCTCAACAAAATAATACAAGCAAAGATCTTTTCAAAGATTGACTATAAAAGACTTTTATAAATTGAATCGTATTCATTGCTAATGAGACTACTTTGATAGCTTAACGATAGTGCTTTATACTTAGTGGAACTTAATGTAGGTACGAGTATCACTATGTTATAGTGATCGCTTGAGGACATCAGAAGGCCAGATCGTGACATGGCAATGATGGTCTAGTTATTCTCGTAGTGTTTATATTTACTTGATATCATACGAGGCCTTACACATAATTAAAGAACTCTATTTTAATACTAAATCCCTATACAGGTTGTTTTTAAAACACTAACAACCTCGTAGGACTACATTACTAACATCATAAACAACAACTTTTCTTCCATGACTTTTTACAAAACATAATAAATTTACCAAAAATAAACTTTTAAGTTTTTGTTGGACTATCTGACACGTTTTAGATCTGTATTTGGTAGAATAAGTTCAAATGTGCAAGCGTCCTCACAGACGACTCTCACCCCCGTCCTGCACAGAGTTATTAAATCTATTTATTTTTGTATTAAACTCATGGAACAAAATTGTTTATGATGTTAGTAGTCTAATCCTGCGAAGTTAGTATTTTAAAATAACCCTGTATAAAATCAAATAGTTTTTGCCATGGAGTCCGTCTTACATAACGAAAAAAGCAGGTATTCAAATAAATGATCGTATGATAATTGATTTAGTAGTTGTGAATATTTTGTGAGCAGCTGATATTTTTCTTACAGTTTGTGAGAGATCTGTGTAGTAAAAGTTGTATACCTTCACTGGTGCACTAGTTAGTTTTAACAACCTTATATACAGGTGGATTTATATACGCAGTGAAATCACATTTTTTTAAACAATGTCTGTAATATTTTACTCTATTCTAATATTTATATTGCATATTAATAATGGTTAACCTATATGTATATTCTCACTGCTAGGTGCATTTCTGGGCAGGAGCTCCCAAATACCAGCTTGGCCCACTTGACTCCATCCTACGTAGGTCGTGTTGTCGATGATTTCAAACTCACAGACTGCATATAGCCCCTTAGCCTACGGTGAGACGTTGGCTCTTTGATGTGTTGTGTGATAATAGGGAGTGCTTAGAAGAATTATTCGAACTGGTGCCACCGTCTCGTTTCCGCCGTGGCCCCTCCCGCCAACGGAGTAGAGTCCATCCCCACATCTCAGATGCCAGGCATTCTAAGACGACGCGGGCATCTCGTTCGTGTCTTCCTCGAGCCTGCAAAATGTTTGCAAAACTTTGCGCTATGACATGGGGCTCTTCAAAAAGCGTGTTTACAGGCTCTCAAAGGCTGGCAGCGCATAGGCTGCTCATCTGATGTTGCAAATGTCCATGGGCGACGATGACCACCTTCCACCCAGCGCCTCTTCTGCTCTTTTGCCTCCTTTAGATACATAAAAAAAAGGTACAGGCTTCCTCTCACAAAGAGAGAACTTGGGTGTGGTGTACTTTGTGAACTTCATACACATCATTAACTTGCTTTGCAGATTTGTGCCGGTTTTCTCAGAATTTTAACCTTCACCGAAAAGCTTATAGTAAATTTCTAATTAAACTTCGCAAAACTCAAAGGACCACGCTTCTGCTTGATTGGCGAAAGGTTAGACTATTACGCTACCACTGCTATTATGTACTATATATATATATATATTCGCCTAGTTGAGCCTTACTCATCTTTTCTTTTTTCTGTCTTTCTCTTTATGAAATTTACAATAAAATAATATTATAATAAAAACAGACTTAGTGTATTTTTATACTGTCAACTAAATTAAGCAAAGAATTCAGGTTGCGAAAACTTTATGTTTCGGTAAACTTCACCTCTCGAAACATTTAATTTCGAAGTCAAGTAAATATTTAGTTACCTTGATAACTTTACATAATTTCACTTCGAAGGTACAAACAGAAGTATTATTATTTAAAACATTTCAGTTAAGTTATCTTTAAACTTGCTGATGTTTATAATGTATTTCTTAATCGTTAAGAAATATATCACCAAACCAAAAGTAATGCACCAATTGAATGTGCACCAGAGCAAATTTGTTCCAAAAACGCTTTTTTATAAGTCCAAATGACGACATTAACAATTCCATACCCTGGTTGTAAGCGACACATTCAGTCCATAAAAGTTACAGTTCCACCCAGCGGTTTACATCTTGAAGATTTGTGCGGATGGCCACTGCGTGCGTCACCCGAGGCATAAGTTGGCAAGTCCCATGTGCACAATTTAGATAGATAAGATAGATAAAACGTTTATTTGGATCTACAGACACACATACATAACAGAAAAATATATAATATAATAAAAAGAAAAAACCAGCAGAGTTGCAGCACTGCCTAACACCCAGTTATGTATGTGTGTTGTAGCAGTGCAAAAAGGCCATAGCTCAGCGTCGGTGTTTACTCAGGAGCAAACCGCTGAT